GGTATGAGAATGTTACTGAAACAAACGATTCAATTTTGCATAGAAGGCTTTAAACTGGCAAATAGGGTACGCGATTAGTCAAAGTCCTGCAGTTTCTACTTGGATAGGTAACAATACAAAAAGCTGTTGAACACCTGCGAGGTAGAGTAGTTAGGTTTACCAACAACTTCATTTTTCCGCAAATTTGAGCTGTTAATAAGGCCGTGGAATATGTCACATGCAACTCCAAAACTGTAGCGGAACGTCGCGAATCCCTTACCGGTATGGCTGTTAGGCAGAGCAGGCTGTCCTCAGGGCGGTGTGCTTTCTCCCTTGCTCTGGTGCTTGGCAGTTGATTCCATGATGGTCAAACTTAACTGCTCTAATAGCTACGCCCAGCTACATACATGTATGCATATGTCAGGCCCCTCTCTTTCAGTTGTCTGCAGGAAAGCACAAATGACACTAAATCAAACTAGTGTTATTTATGATCTTCATTAGAAGGAGAAGGCTGGATGGCCTTGTTGCCGCTGCCCTTAAGGAAGTCACTATTCAAATTTCTTCCTAAGTAAATATTTAGGTGTAATTTTAGATAGTAAACGCTCATGGGAGTCTCACGTTGACCAAAATACCTGCAAAGTCTTAACAGCACTCTGGGATTCAAGAAATCGAATACGCTTAATCGTTAAAAATATATGTATATGTACATGGACCTAAAAAAATATATGTATTTGCAACGTGAGTTGCGTTCGTGTACCTGTTAATTGTTCAATGTTAACCAAAGCTTTCAGGTTTTTGCGTTCGCGTACGCAAAAAACTTGCCAAGTAGGGGAAATTGAGAGAGCTAAGTGACATTTCATTTCCTGTAAGTTCTGACTAAATCCTGTAAACCGGACTGCTATTGGAACAGACTAATTTTTGCAAACAGCAATTTACCAACAGGAAAACAGCTGCTCAAAAACAGCTGGTTGGAATTTATGCAAATCACAAAATTGAATTTGATGGTGTGGAAATTGAAAATGACAAAATGCGACTAATTAAACTTGTAAGAAGTAAGCAGTTATTTGTTTAATCAATAAACTTTGTGATTTGATTTTGAAATTTTACACTTTTGAATGTAAACAAAAATTATAGCAGCTCTTCGTCTAACTTGCAAGTTTATGCGAATTTCCTGTTCGCGTACTATTTTGGATATTTTTCTCTTGTGAGAGAACTGCTGACATTTCACCGGAATTTTTCTGTTGGATGTTTTTTTACTGGAGATTTTAAACCAACGCACCTACGAACAGGCAGTTTTCTCAGCCATTCTCTTAACGCAAATCAAATCAGCTGTTCTACACCTTTTCTAATAGGACTTCGAAAAGCGTCCACTATGTATATTTCAGAAATTATCAAATGTACTTCAGATTAGTCAAATGTACTTCAGAAACGACCAAATCTGGGACCTTCAATATAACCTAACCTTAGAGCCCGGGAGTCCAGCTCCTTCCTGTCCAAGATATTAGTTAAACAAATTTCTATTGGGGCTAAATCTTCTACATGCAATAGATATATAAAGATAAATTCATGATCAAAAAATCTCTTTCAGGAAGCCATATTTGAACTAAATAGAGACAGAACTATACAAATATCGCCTCTTAGAAGTTTATCCGTAACAACATGGTTACCAGATTTCAGATTTGTCTGTTAACAGTATTGCGTGTCATAACTCAAAATTCAAAAATGCAATAAAAGTATAAAGTTTTAAGTTTGATTTTCAACTACAATTTAAAAATGTAGGTCACAGCATAAAGCCGTCATCAGGCCTAACTTTCTTTTAAATAGCACTTAGGAATGTTGCCAAATTCTTAAGTTCTCTTTAGAACTTGCCAAACCAGAAATTTGACCCGTGATGTGGGCCTGACCTCAAAAAAGAACGCAAACAAATGTTATGTTCGCAGTCAGTCGTTGGTCAAGGAAACAATTGTATAAGACATCGTTATATTGATCTAAAACGATATATTTCGCTTTTTCAAAAATACTAGTTACTAAGTGTTTAAATAACTGCTTTGCTTTACATTGGAGGAGGTTTTGTCCCCATCTGGCCTCTGAAATAATAAATTCGCTAAAATCTCTAAACATACGAGACACAAACAAGTTTACTAAAACCAAAAAACAAAAAAAAATTAAATTCTTTTAGGATGTTATGGTCCAGCGCATTTTGGGACGTGCAGCTGCTTCGACAGAAAAGCGCGCCGATGACAATGAGGAAACCATCAAAACTCGCCTCGCCACCTTTAGAACGAATACCAGTGCAATTTTGGATCAATATACCGACAAGACGATAACGGTGAGTGTAAACCATGCATACATACATACATACATATATTTTTCTTGCATAACTCCGATTATTCCTTTTTCTTTTTTTCTTCAATTTACAGCTCAATGCCGAACGTACGGCCGATGAAATTTTCGTTGATGTGCAACGTGCATTGGATTGTCTGATTCAAAAGAAGGCTCAGGCGGTTGCATGCGCCTAATTTATGAATACATATCTATGCCATGCCACAAATAATATCCATAAATATGTAGATAATAAAATTTACGTGATTGCACGTAAACCTGTTGTAGCACAATTGAAACGCGCGCATACCTATGTACATATAAATACATACATACATACATAAGTACATATATTACCAAAGCAATTGATATTAGCTAATTTATTAGCGAAAAAGCAAAAGAAAATAATTTATTTAAAAAATATATTGCAAATACTCGGTACTAATATGCGTGCAATTTTTTCGCATTGAGCGGAACTACTTACAATTGCATATATGTATGTAATTCTCAACCCATAAACGCTTGAGTAATTATTTAGCCGCCAAAAAAGTTGCATAAGTGTAGCAAAACAAAAGAAACTATGATTAAAATGGTAATGAAGTATGTATGTGCGTGGTATGTACACTAATAAGAGCTGTCTATGGGAAATATGTGCTTTAATTATCTAAAAAATACAATGTATGTACTTTATTTATTTAATAACACAAAGAGCAATAAAAATTATTTTAAATAAAAATAAAAAGAGTATAATGAAAGAAAACAATAGATACAAATTTTAAAGATTTTTACGCTCATGAATATGTATATAAGTCCCATTTCACTCTTCGTTTTAGACTGTACCAGAAAAAAAAATCGCGGTGCACACAGGAAAGTATTTTTGCAAGGCAATTTCGCATCTCAAAGTGTGATACATCGATGATCTTGTCTTGAGGAGAAATTTTTTTTTATACCAAAGTTCATTGCGCTCAATTCCCTCATTGTAATACTTACCCACCAAACCTCAGTTATTATCAATCACCCTATCGTACCGCCCAGTAAGGAAGTATTTCGATTACTGCATAGGTGTAATCGAAAAAAATTAAAAAATGTTAGTTTAGACCATGAAAAAAATTTCGAAATTGCCTTGCAAAAATACCGCACGGCGCACTTTTTTTGTTTTCTTGTGAGATGATACGATCTAATGTGCATGCATGGTGAGTAATCTTTTTGTGTCATTTTTAATTACATTCAACTTCCGCTAGAAAATACTTGCAGTATGAGAAAATTTATGGCAAAAATGTATAGCTATAATTTTAATTATTTACGCTTACGTCAACGACTATGCAATCACTGTCGCATTTCATATGCTTAAAGGAAATCTAAATTACAGCGAATTTGTTTGTATGAATGTTTCCTTTATTTTTACACTTTCTTTTTGTATAAATCTAGACTTCCTTACTTATAAGCGAAACTTAAGTTTTTTGTGAGATGCATAGAATTTCCGCGGCCGCATCCGTTGGTATGATTTCAGGACGTTTTTACCGTTTTATTAAATTTTTATGAATTGTTATTTTTTAAAGTGTAGAGAAAGTAGCAACGTTGAAGAAAATCGATTCTCTTGTTTATGTTAATTATTGTTAGATAATAAAATCCAGTTGAAAAAATTTTAGTGTTCCCCTAAAGAGAAAAAAATTGCTAAATTAAAATTTTAAATTTCAGGACTTTTAGAAAAATTTTAGGCACTCACTTTTATAACCCATTAATTTTAGTGCAATAAAGTGCAAGTTTCAAGTGGCTAAGAACTCGCATTGATTTTTAATCATTATTTTATTTACTGACATTACCAGCACACTTTATGCATACGGAAGAGAATGCCCAGAAAAAAATATTAGAAACACATACATATACACGAATTCTTTACGACTTGAAACTTGCACTAAAATTTAAGCAGCTATGAAACTGTATAACTGAATTTTTTCTAAAAATTAAATAAAACATAGTATATAATTTCGGTGAGAATTTGTTTATAATTTTTTCTGTGAAATTTTTTTTTCATTTTGGAGGTTTCCTATAATTGTATTCAACTAGTTTTTAGTTATGTAATATTTATTGACAAGAACAGGAGAATGGATTTTCTTCATCATTGCTAGTTTCGCTGCACAAAAAAAATGTAAGAATCGGGCTTAAGAGGTATCTTCCAAATTTTATTAGCTATCATTAAAAAAAACAAACCATCAAATCGGTTGAAAAATTAATGTCTATTTCGAACAGTAAATTCCAGTTTTGGACCACTGTACAATGGTATTCGTGGTTCTGTATTCTGTATTGTTCTCTATTCACACGTCAGTCTACTTTCGCCGATAGCCACCACTAATGTTGAGCACTTCTTTTAGCCCTGATACTCGCTATTTGATCTTCTGATCCCGAATGGTAGCCGTTAGTGAGCGAATGGCACTCATTTCAAAATCTCATTTTCACCATTGCTGTGGTTGTCCACAGTACGCGACTTCATTAAATAAAGTTGCGGAAATGAAAAAAGCTCGCTTCCATTTATCTAATAAATAAGTCTGTCTTTTATTTTGTACTTTTGAAAAATGTACATTCTATCTAAGAAAAATTGCTACTACTCACCTGTACTTTTACAAACTAAATTAAGTTCAAGGATTGCAAAATGCATTTTTTCATAGTTTCTATTTTTACGCTTATTTTATTTTTCTATTTTTATAAAGTATTTTCCGTCATTTTTGCCTCAATTTTAAATGACTTTCTGTACTACAGCTATTTGACTTAATGGCCCCCGTTATGAAATAAAACATAAGCGCAAAGATCAACGGTCAAATACCACTCATTATAATAGGGTGGTTCAAAAATGCATGTGAAAAAGTAAAGTCGGAATTTGTATGCTCTCGTCCCCTAGGATTGTTCTATACCGAAAAAATATACCCTTATTTTTTTTGAAATCCAAAAATATTAAGAGGTCGCTCAAAGCGCTCAAAGTTTGCCATGTATTTTATATGGGGAAAAACTACTTTTCATTGAAATATTATAGAATTCTTGAAAATTAATATTTCTCGGTCGGAAAATTCTGGTTCTCAGGAGACTTCCACTAACAATACTCAATTGTTTATTTAAGCATTTTTTGATGCCTAAGATTTTTTGTTTATCCCCACATTGCATTTTCTGGAGGTTTTTGGCGACCTATAAAATATAGTTACTATGAAAAAATTATTAAATAAATAATTGTTTATTATTATTGCGAATCTCCTGAAGAGAAACAGTTTTCCGATCGAACAATATTGACTTTCAAGAATTCTATACAATTTCTACGAAAAGTGGTTTTTTTTCCATATAAAATATATGGAAAACTTCGAGCGCTTTGAGCGACCTCTAAATATTTTTTGATTTCAAAATAAAAAATAGGGGTATATTTTTTCGGTATAGCACAATTCTAGGGATGAGAGCATAAAAATTCCGACTTTACTTTCTCACATGAATTTTTGGACCACCCTAATGTATGTATATACAAACATGCATGTGCACTTATGTATGTAGATACAAATGCATAAACATATAAAGCGACCTGCTGCTAATTAGAATTAGTGTATATATACATACACATGTAAATACATATATTTTCGTATATTAGTCTTAATCCAAGGTAAATTAGGATTTTTCCCATCAATCACTTTTCTTACGTCGACTTTAGATGAAATGCATCTTTCATTAGTTAGTAACATTTAGCAACAGTAGCGATTCATTAAGCTTCTTATCGGCTTGCTGATATTTAATTAAAATTAAATTTGCTACGCTAGATAAGTTACAAAAGCTAAAATTGCACTTTAAATATATGCATATGTGTATGTATGTGTATGTATGTTCTTACATTTGGATGTACATACGTACATACACTTGTATGCATTGCACACTGACGTTGAATTTTGCCTTTCGGTCCAGATTTTCAGAAAAAAACTGTTGAATTATCGAAAAATGGCAAAAATTGCAAAAATGCCAAATTTCCAAATTTTGTTTTCAAATAGAATTTGGACGTAGTTTTTCCGAAGAAAAAAAACTCGTATTAATGAAAACCCAAATTGACCTCATGTCGATGAATTGATCAAAAATTAATGAAATATTAGAAAAAAAACCTCGGCTCATCAATAGCATTCGCTTGTTTTCCCACAAATACGAAAATCTCAATCTATGAATTTACTATAAAAACAAATTGATTTCATGAACAAATCAACATTAAAAAATCAATATTCCAGATTCATCATTAGCCAGTCTTTTGTTTCTTAACACTTTCCGCGTTCTGGAATGAAATCCTCAAACATATTTTTTTGTGGGTCGCATTATAATCGCCTTTCAAGGTCCAGCAATAGTGAGCTAGCATGTGGAGGTTTGATTTCCTATTCTACCACTTCTCCATAGCGGCTATGTCCTGGTGGAATCGTTCGCCATGTTATTCGCTGGTGTTTTTTTACTAAGTTTTTTTTTTTTGTATTTGTTCACACCTTTCTACTCATCTTGCGAATTGGATTTTCATTAATACGTGATTTTTTTCTTCGGAAACTTATCATGAAAAGTGAATCACAAAAAGATGATTACGCAAATGCCTTGTAGTGAAACAGGAAAGGTGAGTGACTATATATGTACAATGTACAAGCAGATGTACGTATACATATATGTAAATATATGCATATATATGAACAGAACTTTGATGAAACTATTAACGCTCATAAATAACTCAAGTTTTCCGGTTGAGCCACTTAACCACTCACTAAACGCACAAAGCGGCAAGTTTTGACGTAGAAATTCTTGTGTGTTTATCTTACATTTTTCCTAGCAGACTAAAAACAGTTAAGTTAAACAGCTAGCATATGTATGTATGTACATTAGTCAGTACCAAAAAAAAAGAGTTCGCAATGCAACTTCGAATATAAAGTGTTTTTGCAAGCCAATTTCGGAAAAAGGATTTTTTTTTTGGCCAATCGTAGGGGTCGCCTCTTTACATTTTTTCGACATATCTTCTGCATTTACAGTCAGATCTTTAAGTATGATATATAGCGTTTTTTGTCGCAAGGAGACCATTTATTTGGTTTCAAAGTTCATTGACATCGAAGTACCTTGTTATAGTATTTACCCACCAAATCTGGGTTCTTATCATCCCAACGTACCACCCTAATGTCATAATAATTAAAGCACACCAAACACCAGTCACCAAAATACCTTGCAAAAATACCTACTTTAGACTGAGGGGTGTGCTGAGATGTTTTTCTTGTTTTGCTTATAAGGTGGCACGGTCTAACGTACATATTTATATACGTATAAAAATATGTATGTACAGATATTTTATATTCGACTACATACTTATTATTTCCTCTAAAGACATTTTAAGTTAAACTTATGTTGATTCCATTTCTTCTAAAAAATGTTGCCCTTCCCCGGTGGAAAATATATTTGATTTTACACTCAACCCTGTAAGAGGGCATGTTTGATCCATTTTGTCCTTGTCTAGCTCTCGCATTTCATAATATTCTCGTTTTAAGGCAACCATCTGATTTTCAGGGCAACCTTCTCCCCTTATAAAGCTTCACAGGGCGGAGAATGTGCTTTTTATGCCTTACAAGAGTGCGACATTTTAAGAAACGAACACAAAATTTTCACACCGTTTTCCTTTAAATTTATTTTAAAATCGAACACGAAAAGCGAAAGTGGTAGAAGCAAAGACACTATTACCTTAGCTAAATTTATATTTATTTTATTTTATTTTTATTTAATTTTAGTTTTATTTTATTTTATTCTACTCGATGTCGTGAAAGCCGATTAAAACTAAAGCAATTTGAAAACACATGGCTTTTTCCACATGGCTTATGATTAATCCTCTCTTCTAAAACAAAAAAAAACAAAATGTTGCTCAGTAATTAATTTAAAACTAGAATACAAATCGGCAAATTATGGCCATATAAACATAAACATTAACAATAAATCCAAACACACTCAGCCGAATTTGCATAAATTCAAATAGTCAAACTCATCGTTAAACGTGAAGTGGATTGGCACTTAAAGCCCCATCCTCGCTCTATTAGTAAGTATGTATATATATGTATGTAAGTACATAAGTATAATCAGCAATTACTCAAAAAGAAAAAAATATATATATTATTTATACCAGAAGCCTTGTAAGTACTTAAAAAACAAAGTTGGTTCTAGGCCTCCACTTTATGAAATTTGTCAAGTGACGTTAAAGAAAATTGAAGGTAAAGTAAAAATTGCTACGCATCTGCGCTACCGCAACAAACCAAATTTTAACTATGCATACCAATAGCGCGATTCCCTCTTTAGTTTTCTGCAAAAAAAAAATAATAATATCAGTTTAATATTATACAAAGCAAAGAATCAGTTAAGTAAGCATTATGCTCTGCCCGCCATTAGTTATTTGGGTCTATGAGAATTTTATTCTTTGTCTAGCTGTTGGAAGACAAAAGGTATGACGTAAATTCTGACAGCAAACACAAATGGCAAAGCTTTTTTTTATTTTTATTAAAATTATGCAAATTTGAAATTTGAATATACTTTTATTTTAATTAAGTGCGCAAAACAAACAAACGACAAGCTAACAAAAGGCGTAAGTGCGCAAACGCAGGGCTCTGCTGAAGTTTTGAGTTAAAACTGTAAATAAATATAGATATTTCGCATAGTTTAGTGTGGGGTTTGACGCACGTCGTAAATACGTAAATATCTTCGTAGAGTAGGTAATTGTTACTGAAATTATTTTCAATATTTCACTCATTCCAGTGAAATAAATTTTTGCGTGAAAAGAGCAGTTACGCAGCTCAACCAAATTGTAACCACTGCCTATTTTCCTATAACATTTTTTTTTAGAATTTTTTAGATGTGTAGGTATCGTTATTCTACAACAAAAGTTAAAAATATTACAAAAATGCCTTTTTTGACACTTTTCATCTCAAATATCTCGAAAACTATAGCCAATCTAATAGTTCTGAGGAATGATTGTTAATCGCCGCAAAAAATCGTATGGAAATCCTTTGGTTCTCCAGTGTTGTCAATCATAGCTTAGTCTTTAATAATCTGTTTCGATTTTTCTATCATTTAGATCGTTAATCTAAACTAGAAAAATGTTGATTCATTTTTTCGACTGCCTTTCTTTAATCATTATTCTAAGATAACGGGAATTTGAAAAATGTACTTTACGCAAGTTCCGGTTTTTTATGGTAGTTCTTGGCTCGTTGGCCGCTGTGGTGTAGTAGTTAACAGTGCGCGCTACCACTCCGCAGTACCTGGGTTCAAGCCCTAGTTAAAGCAACATCGCAAAACAAAAAAAATATAGAAGAAAGGTTTTTTCTTAACAGCGGTCGCCTTTCGGCAGGCCAACGCAGACCTCCGAGTGTATTTCTGCCATGAAAAACAGCTTCTCATAAAAAAAAAAATACAATCGCCGTTCGAAGATTGGTGGAACAGGCGACGATGGAAAATCCGCACGTCCACGCATTTTACGAACGCCAATAGCCGTAGATAATCGAGTTAGTCAAAATCAGCTGCATAAGCAGAAATCATTCTTGGACTAAGCGCATATAAGTAAGAGGCCCACCGGACACTTACCTTCTAACAGAAGCGTTGAAATCAAAACGTATGTAAGTCAAAATCGAGAGCCTTGCTTCGCCAATACGCGAAAAACGGCTAAAGACAAATTATATTTGCTGACAATAAAATTTTTACTTTAGAAGAATCGGTCAATGAACAGAAGGATAGGGTGTATGCTCTGTCATCACGACATGCGTTCCAATTCGATTCTAGGATTCAACGTGGCGACCACCCAGCTTTTATGATGGTTTCAAAAAGACTCTTCTCCAGCTTATAAGGCAAAATCACAACGAAATCATGTTCCAAGCTTCATTTCCACGGCAGGTGGGATCCGTTGTGGAAGTCATGGCTTACCCTACTTGGCATTCAAGTTTTGAGCTTTTGAAGCGCGCCCTTGTCCGAACTGCGTAAAATTGCCCAATTCATGGGATGCGTACTATCTATAATCGATGAGTGGCCGAGCCATCTTCACCTCTGATGGGAGACAAATGGAGGCCATTTCGAATTTGGTGTTCTTTAGCCACAATAAATAGAAAAAAAATTCTGCAAAAAACGCTTTGTGAATTGCAGCGTCTAAAAGAGCAATCTACGGGGGATGAAAAATGGATTGAATACGAGAATAAACAACGCAAGCGATCATGGTCAAAGACCGCCGGACGTCCGCAAATGACTTCAAAGCATTTATTGACGACAAACAAGGTTATGTTGAGCGTTTGGTGGGATCGAAAGGGAATTGTCAATTATGAACCGCTAAAAAGTGGCTAAACGATAAATTTAGTCCTCTACAGTGTAAGTTACAATGGCCTTCTTTAAATATTAAACATAACGAAAGCTTGCAGCTTTCCATTATTCTTTTACTATAAATAATTTAGACAAAAATCTATCAGAATGGAAAAATACTAGCAACTAGCCAAACTAGCATTGACTTAATTTTGGTAAAAATTTGCGAAAGGGGTAACCCTGCTCTCCACTACATTCCATACATACATACTTAAATACTTATCACTCCTCCCACCGCTACCTATAAAATAAATGTAAAACCGGTGCAAATCAGCTAAAACCTTGACCTACATACGCTATTCCCATATTAAAAGCGCTCAAAAGCTCAGCTCAATTCACTCAGTAACTCAATAAAAGCTTGAGTGAAAATACGCTTACACTTTTTAATATTCCAAACGACCTTGTCTCTCTCAATTTTGATTTCCTTGAAATGAGAGATGACCTTCATTAATTTTTATTTCCTCTCCCATACTCGCATCCGTTATATTAGCAGAGAACGTTTATAAATAGCTTTACTTAAAAAAAAAGAAGAGTTTGTTAGCTAAAAATTTTATGAATTTGAGAAAAAAATCTGTATTAATTCATTTTATATACGAATGCTTGTTATATGTACAGAACCAAAAATATACAAAGTTTTCTGTAACGAATTTTCTACTTTCTTTTTCGCTTAAGTTTTATGTAAATACAAAACAGCCTAGTATAACCTAATCTCTCGTCTCTGACATCGTATTATTTTAGACTACTTCTTCTCTTTGTCTCAAATATATGTATTTCACTTTCTTGCACATCACTCTTCTGCCACGGAGATTCCAATGACTTCAGCGTGAACCCGATGACCCTAAAATTGCGATCGTTGCAATTCAATTTTAATAAATAAACACTCAAAAAAGCTCACGATTTTCAGTGTACATTACACAACAGCGAAATACCCAACAAACTGAACCCACCCAGCGAACTTCACGCCATGGCTCGTGTATGTAAATAGTAGAATTGAAAAACCCGAAATTTGTATGTTTTAAATTTTTTCAAATTATTTATTCTTATTCTCTTGATTTTATTGTTTGTTTATTTTTTTCTGATTGTGGAAATATGAATATTAATTGTTTGCTGATAACTGTACATATAACTGGTTTTTGTGTCAACTCGTTAAATTTTATTTAGTTTACGTTGATCAAAAAAAAAACTGCAAAAAATATACACAAACGTTATACATACATATATCTAAAAACAAATAATTATGCAAACACGTAATTTTTTCGTGCAACTAATTTAAATAAATAATACATTATATATTATTCTTAATACTATACCATGTATACTAGTAGGTTTTTATGTAGGTACAGCGATTTTTAAATAGTAAAACAATACATTGCTGCACACAATTCACTTAGATTCACTACTCACAAATATCACAAAATTTCATTTCGTATATCGAAAAACACCTAATTAAAATTTTATTTGAGTCGGGCGCTTTAAATGACACGCCAAATACTCAAACCATATACAGCTCGTCAAACAAGTCCCGTTCGCCGCCACTCATGCGCGGAATTTCGCGCATGCTCAGCGCCGCCGCTAATGACAGCCAACGTGCGCGATTTGCGTCACAGCACTTACACGCCGCCCATTGAATCACACACAGGTCCAATATGGGAAGTGCAGCTTAAGCTTAGCTTAAAAATCAAAACATTTTTTGAATTTTTACTTAGAAAATATTTTCACAATTTTAAGCAATAAATACTAATCAAAATCACTAATTAAAGCTTTGTTTTCAGTCAGTCCAAACTCAGAAGTTTTTCAACACCCCTTCAAAATGTGTTTTTTTTTTTTTTGTGTTTCTAATTCCCCGCCCAACGCTTGCGCCACACGTTCCCCCAAAAGTTACACAATATTATCGTTAACTCGCAACGCACTCCGACCTTGTGGCGCTTGTTGTGGTATCTGCACCGCAGCCACCTGTTGTAAGCGTTGCACCATTGGTGCCTGCTGCGCTGGCCATTGCCATTGGTTTTGTGCTTGCACCCGCACCCCAATTTTCCCCGTTTTCGCCTCGATCCAATCCAGATAGTAGGTGACACGCGTAAAGCCACCGGGTATATTTGTTTCACAACCATCAGCTGGTCCGAAGCTTGTGATGCCCACAACTATTTGAGTATTCTTCAGCACCAGCGGACCGCCGGAGTCACCAGAGCAAACGGTTTCATCGCGCAGACCTTTTGCGCAGAGTACGCCATTCGTAATGACGTCGAATTCGTTGGCACACTCCTGATTTGAGATCACGCGCAGTTCGGTGTATTGCATAGGATTGTAATTGGATAGCTCGCTGTTGGCACCCCAGCCGGTGGCTACCACTTTGGCGCCGGTGAGTGCGTCTTTGCGGCTGAGATATGGCAGTGTGGCGGGTTGTATGCGCTGTGTAAAGGCTACATCGACCGGCAGCTTGATGAGTGCGATGTCATTGGCGGCTGTTTCGGGATTGAAGCCTTCGTGTGCGATGAATTTGTTGGAACGCAGCACTAGACGGCCCGTTTCGGGTGTATCTTCAACGGTGAGTGCGCCCAGGTAGATGTCGAAATGTGTGACGCCCATGGTGCAGTGGCCAGCGGTGAGTATCCAGCGCTGATCGAGCAAAGTGCCACCGCAGAGGATGCGTTTGCGCCACAACTGCTTGCCGATTAGCATCACTTGGTAGGGAAACTTTTCGATGCGTCCATATTTCGATTGGCCAATGGAGAAGCCTTGCACCATCGGGGGCCCGCTGAGGGCGCACAGTGAC